CTTATTTTATTCTTGTTACAGCAATAGCAGTTTCAGTTACCAGTACCCAATTTAAAGGCTGAATTGTATCTTGATCTTCGCTGTGCTTTTGAAAGAGACCTTGATTTTGGCCACATGTGCCTTCCTTCACTATACTCATTTGAAGTTTTAGAGGTTATAAGCATGCTAAATGCATGCAGCATGTCAGGCCTGAATTCTGCTTTTCCATCACTTTTCTGCAGAGAGCAAATTAGATGGCCCTTGGAGGGGAGAAGTAAGCAGTTTCCATAAAGCCTTCCACTGCTAATTACTAAGAGTAGTAAAAAACTTGAAATGATGAAAAATAAATTGTGGTTTAAATCTGCTCTTCTAAAAATGGTTCTCTGTAACCCTCTCTCTTCCCTGTGTTCCTTCAGTTAAGAGTCCCAAATCTAGAATTGGCACTGGCACCTGAGTTGAGTTGTGATAAGGGAGTATAGCTGCAAAGTACACTGACTCCTTGGCCCAAGCCAAGCTGTTTTGCTTACAAAACCTGCTCCTTTATCTGGTTAAACTATCCAGTAATAAATTTATTACATCTGAAGGTTTTGCCTGAAACCTGATTTTTTTTTTTTTTTTGAGTATTAACATAGCACCATAGCTAATACGTTATTTTAAAATGGTATGCCAGGGGTGTGAAGGTGGAGGAGAGGCAGATCTTTGTGTAATTCTTTACAGTGTATGCTGTTTGTCAAACCATATTTGCGTTGAACTGAAGGTGAGGGTGTTTTGTTTTGGTTTTTTTTTTTGTTTTTTTTGGTTTTTTTGTTTTGTTTTTTTTTTAAAGGGTGCAACCCATTTAACAAATCTCAAAATAGCAGTCTTGCTCTGCATTCACATCCTGCCCATATAGTTCTGCATTCTCCTTTGTGTTTTTTTGACTTTGGTCCTTGTGTTTTAGTGAACCACTGAATGGGTAAAAATATAAATAGATGTTGTCGTCTTTGCTTTTAAATGTGTATGTACAGATTCTAATAATGTGTGAAAGCAGGAAACTGTCTCAGCTAGGATTTTTCCCCTGAACATGCTTTATTTTTTTTAGTCAAGGCAGCTCTTATAGTATGTTTTCACAAGTGTATTAAGATCTAAAGAAAAACTTGTCTTCCTTTAAACTTTGAGTTATTTTTCTTCCCTCTTTCCCCAGTTATTAGCTGGTCTAATAAGAGATGGTACTTCTTTCTAGAAGCCTTGCTTTGATGAGATCTCAGGTCCTTGTAATCTGCTCACACAACTGTCTTGTCAAAGTTGATGCTTTTGACCAAATCACATCACTAGATCTTGACTGAGGCTTTCACTCAGTTTGAGTGAAGCCCCCTTTTGTAATAGGGTGGTAAGAACACTCTTTGGGATATAGAAATGAAGGATCAAGGTTCCATTGTCCGCTCCACTGGTGGAAGCGGTCTCCCTGGCAGAAACAGTTATTCCCCTTTTGCTATACCTAGTATGTGAGCAGAACTCAGCAACAGCAGGGCACAGCACAAGAATGGGAAGCATGTACTGACCCAGTGTTGATCATGGCGCTTGATCAGTTGAGTGCAAACCGTCTCCATCTGCCTTAGGTTTCTTGGCATCCAGAGAACAGATGAGTTTTCTCATTATTAATAGGAAAGAATAATAGAGCAGCGCTGATTATGGCAGCACAAACCAGTATGGTAAAGAATGTTCCTGTGTGTGGCTTTGTTTGTTGTTTGAGGAAATAATAAAATCTGGTAAATATAATCTCTGATTCTCCTTTACTAATTTCTCAAAGACAGCCATGCTTAAAGATTTTTAATTTTGCCTCTGTCAGCCAGATGGCACTATTCTGGAAATCAAGAATTTTCCAAAATATACTGTGGTTATTACATTAAATGGGTGAACAAAAATTGTATCTTTAAATGGAAGAAAGCATTTTCATTTCTTTCAATCTTTATTACAGTATTTATTTTCTGAATTTGACTGAAAAATATTCAGCTATGGATCTCCAGTAAAGTGGAAAGTGCAGTTACAGGATTGATTTTTGCATGTATAAAATGGCTTAAAACTAATAAATTGGGTACAAACATTAGCATTTCTTATATGTGTATTGTATAGTAATTTAACTGTTGTTCTTTTAGATATTTTAAAATGATGTGTGGGTATTAACTTATTATTTTGGAATATCTCCTTTGAAGACTTCAGGTTCTAAACCTTGGATTTTACACTGAAGGCTAGCAAAACCTCCATGTTTAAACTTACTTGCATGTTGGGAGTGTATATCACCTACTTCAATTTAGAAGAAATGTTTGCAATTAAGTAAGACTTCAAGTTTATGGATCCTTTTTACAAAGAGCAGATGATTTCCCCTTTTTGGTAGTATTACCTATATCAAGCTGTAAGTGGCTTCAAAACATGCAAAATAAAAAGTTTAATGCAGATCCCATAGAGATTCTTGTCTGTTCTGGAAACTTCTTTTTGCAGAGACAGCTGCAAGTAAAAATCCTATTTTTTAATTTCATACAGTGCTGTATACTTCAAAGGAAGTTACTTTGAAAATTTTTTTTTTAATGTTTCCTGTTTTCTGTCAGCTTTTTTTTTTACCACTTCCTTCACACTTACCATCCTTTACACTGTGTTTGGTGTGAGGAGTGAAAAATAATTGTTTCATAGCTGAATTGAGACAACCCTGTGCAGGTTTAAATGGAGCATTCAAGTTCTGTGTGTTCACGCTATCAACGTTATTTTAGTTTTTGCTGTGCTGTGTCATGCTTTCATTTTCTCAAATACCTACAATGTGCTGCTATGTGGACTCTTCCAAAATATTTCATGCTGAAAGGATACATGAAGCATTTTGTTGTGGGGGGAGTATTGACCAGAATACTAGGATAGATTGTATCACAAAATAGATTTTAGGCAAAGTTAAAAATCTAGGAAGGTCATTGATATTGAAGAGATGACTGTTAATAGAAATGCATGAATTCACATATTTTTTGTGCTTCAAGAGTTCTTATAATCTGTTATGTGGTGAGAGAGAGATAATGCATCAAAACTTTTTGTCCATTTTCAAACTAAACAGTAGGAGAAAGATGTAAGGAACTTTACAAAATTAAAGGTGCACCTCCTAGGCACCATTACCTTTCCATGTTGTGAGGCTTTTTAAAATCCTGTATACCAGAAGAGCTAGCTTTCTGGCATCAGGGTATCAAAATATTAATGCATTTATTGAGCCTTAAACATGTGAATAGTCATGTTAAATTTGCAGGTATATATGGTGTACTGGCCTCAAAATCCTCAGTACCTACAGGATTGAGGCCCTCGTAAGCATAACAGAAATCAAATAATTGTCTGAGTTAATTGCATACACTTACTACAAATTAGAGCTCTAAAGAAAATTACCATGTAGTGTTTCTATTCCTCTGTCAGCTAAACCATATGAAGAATGGGTTCTAACTATCAAAATGAGTAATTGTTCTAGGGATGAATGTGTGTGATTTACATTACTAAATAAAATTGTAGCCATCCTTCAGCTCTAAATGCATGGCAAGTATTTTGAGTAGGCCACAGAAAGCATGATGCAGTTTGGTAGGTAACTTAGCGTGGTTCACTCTTGCAAGCTCTTCCAGGACAGGACTCTACTTCCTATGACCACTGCCAGCTGCTCTCCCCTCCATCCTCATTTCTTTCAGACAGTTCAGCTGTTTTTCTGGTTTTACTTGGTATAGATCTGTGAAATCATAGGATGTAGGACCCAAAATTGCCATGGAAATTTACAGAGCATGGAGTTGTAGCTGAAGATTAATAAGAGCATGAACTTTTATCTAAGCATATATTGGAGTTATTTATTTTTATGCAATATGAAATATTTCTCAATAATTAAGCTTCCTGTATTGAATGCAGTGAGACTTGTGAAATATTTTCTTCTAGGCAAACTCTTAATAAAGATTAAGGTCTCTGGGGAGACCTAATAGCAGCCATCTGCTACTTAAAGGGGGCCTACAGGAGAGATGGGGAGGCACTGTTTATTAGGGAGCATAGTGATAGGACGAGGGGTAAAGGGTATAAGCTGAAAGAGGGTAGATTTAGATTAGGTATTAGGAAGAAATTTTTTCTTGTAAGGGTGGTGAGACACTGGAACAGGCTGCCCAGGGAAGCTGTGGATGCCCCATCCCTGGAGGTGTTCAAGGCCAGGCTGGATGAGGCTTTGGGCAACCTGGGCTAGTGGAGGGGGTCGCCGCAGGGGGGTTGGAACCCTTCCACCCTTAGCCATTCTATGATTATATGATTTGAACTAAATGTTAGCTTTTACAGTAGGTAGAAACCAACTAAAGGGCTTCATGCCTAGCCGTGCTTCTTTTTCATCTTCTGGTGTGTCATTTCACTGGGGAAAAATAAAGTTGTTGAATGTTTTTTATTTTACACAAGCATGAGTTAGAAGGAAACAAGAAGACTCCCACAGTGTAGTAGAGATTATTGTTAATTATGTTATGTTTGATGGGTATCTAAAGAAAAAAAACACCACCCCACACCCTGTAATATGATTGGTGTAGCAAGGTAGTTTTACCTAAATGAATCAGTTTATTTTTTGCCATTAGAAGTAGCAAAGAATTTTTTAAGCAACACTAGTGAAGGAAAAACATATCTAGTTCAGTCTCATGGAAATAAGTGACTTCCTTTGTAATTTCTTACTTCACAGAGTAAGATGTAAACAGTACTGAGAATGGTTTATGCTAGTCCTTCAAAAAGGAAAATGCTTTGAGTACGAATCTCTTTAATAATCTGTGCCTACTTGTGAAGAGTGTAATGAATTCTTGTCTTCTGAGTGACCAGATTATCTTCAGTTTTATCTAACACTTTGCTGTCAAAGATGTTGCGCATCTCAAACTGTTATGCACCTTCCATAAGTAACACTGATAATCAAGAGCACAGTAGTAACACCAGTATGCATCTCAGTAATACTTCACAGTTTTGACAGTATTTGTCTGCTTCCTCACAGTTATTCTAAAATGTGTACTATGTATTTCTAGATATATGGAGTTTGGGGGTCATACTCTTCATGCTGGTTTGTGGACAACCACCATTTCAAGAAGCAAATGACAGTGAAACTCTGACTATGATAATGGACTGCAAATACACAGTGCCACCTCATGTGTCCAAAGAATGTAAAGAGTAAGTAGAGTACGGAAGAACTTGGAAGCATTCATAGAAGTAGATTCTCCTTATCTTTGGGAATTCCCCATACCATATTATCCGCATGTAGAATATGCCTTATGCTCTTTCTTAATTGTTAGTACTTCTTCATATCAGTTGAGTAGTTTCTTGGGCACTAGCATTGAATTTTTTTATTCTTTGTGTTCCTTCTTACTAAAGGTTAAGGGGGACTTTCCACTTGTGTGAAACTTCATTTTGATTTTATACAATGGATCTTTCTTTTATGTGTCTCAGTTGTCATGCATTTTATAAATGATTGGAGAAGCTGCTCACTACTGACTGGCTTTGGCCACCACTCTTGCTGGAGAGATTACAAGGTGTTTCTGAAAGTATTTTGTGACAGGGGTTGAAAAGGTAATGATTCCTGTAGATTTATGTTCAAAATCCAAGTTGTCAAAACCCAAGAATATTGCAGCAAGTTTTGCTCATCTCTTACTGAAATTGCAACTTGAAATCAACATTCTAGGTGATCAAGGGAGAAAAATATTCTGTCTGCAAATACCATATGCCACTTAGGAATCATGACTCATTTTGATGTGGTGTTTTTCTGCAGTGTTCACTGCAGCTTTTAAATTTTTTTTAATATGTTCCAATATTTCCCGTATTTCCCTATTGGTTAATGACCTCTTCAGTCCTTAAATATATGTCCCAGTTGCATCACTTAGACTACTATTTTACAGTATTCAAGGTTCTTGAATCTGCAATAGAATATCTTTTCATTTTCAATATCAAAGTCCAGATGCCTTTATAAATGCTTGGAAAATGGATTTGGTCCAGTCAAAAAACTAGAGCAGCATCTAGGTTTCTGTTATTTGACACAGACTGAAATTTGTTACAGCTGTGGTCACAACGACCGTTCCTTTCTTCACCTGTCATCTGTGTGGTCTAGGAATCTAATGCATAACATGATGCCGTAGCTGGTTTTAGTGTCTTGCCATTAGTGCCTAGCATTTCCACTAACATGGAAAAGCTGCTCTCAGTAGCTTGAAGAGCTTTATGTACAGGAAGAGGTTTAAGATACAATACAGGAAGATGTTTAAAAGTGAGCTCTTATCAATGAATTCTGTTGAATAAGTCTCTTAATGCTGTGTGCTGTGCTGAAGCCAGGAAACTTTATTTTTTTGCAGCCTTTTACTTAATATGTTGGCTAACGCTGATTTGCTTAAAGGCCCAAGTAGATCTGCTTTTCCTACATGATCCATCAACAGTGTATGATCAGTTAGCCAGGTCCTCTATAGGTGAGGTTTTCTTAGGGAAAGGACTCTCAGAATGTTTAACCTTCCTGCTTGGAGTGAAAGCATTCATAGTGGTTTAGGATGCATAAGCAAGCTTAAAGCAGGAGGCACATGTGAGACATTTGTTTAATTTTACTACAGGTATAGTTTAAAAAAAGTCAAATGAAGAATACAGCTTGTTCCCTTTCTGTCATAATATTAACAGAAGCAAAGAAAATCAGGCTCCCATGTCTCACTCCACCTTTCCTTTTGGTAAAGGCAGAGACCACAGCTACTAAGTATATATATGACACTTTTTTTACAGTGCACTTTAAAAAAGACTGACTTAACCTTCATATTTAATTCCTTACATCATCTCACACTAAAAAAAAAAAATAAAAATTGTGATTACCTTTGTGATTTGTATGGCCTTGCAGTTTGAAGTTGCCTGGTATAGTATAGTTAGTGCAATAAAAACCATTATGTGAAAACTGCAGAACTTTAATTTCACATGTTGGAGCAGTAAGGGGTCATTGAAACCTTCGTACCAAAACTGTATATTCATGTTCTGTTTGCTGTCCAAAGCCAAAAATACGCTCCCGCCCCAAGAATTTTTCACGTATAGTAAGTGAACAGAGATGCACTGTGCTATTCAAGTCTTCTTTCTCTATTTGGATAATTTATGCACTTGCTTTTCAGCACCTGTAAACACTCAGTATCAACCCATTAGTAGGCTTGTCACTTAATCATCCCAGATAGTGGGGTGTTTGAGGTTTTTTGTTTGGTTGGTTTTTTTCTTTTCCTATGGACAGACCAGGGATACTTTCAGGGATACTGAAGAATCAAATGTCTGATAGCTATTTCAGAATAAAATATTTCTACTTGCCTTGCCATTCTACATTCTTGTTGACAGCAGCAATAATAGAAAATTATATTTCTATTACTTTACAGAACAACCTGTAGAACCATCGATGACAGTTGCACTATGAGACCTACTACAACCAAACAAACCAGAAAAATTACGTTAAGCATCTAAACATAGTAAATGAAAACTGCAGTGTTTATGGTATTTAGTTTTTAATAAGGAAATTGTTTGTTTCAGTTAAGAAATATTTGGAATGTCTTTGAGAACAAATAATTTCCCATCACATTGTTTACTGTAGAGACTTCTAAAGATCTATGTGGACTGACAGCAGAAAATTTCTTCCTAATACTGCTCTTACAATGGCTGCTTTTTAAACATGTGAGTGCACTTTGTTTAGATCTATTTTTTATTCACAGTCTAATTACACGGATGTTGCAGAGAGACCCGAAGCGAAGGGCATCTTTGGAAGAAATCGAAAGCCATGCATGGCTCCAAGGAGTCGACCCATCTCCTGCAACAAAGTACAATATTCCTCTTGTGTCATATAAAAATCTGTCTGAGGAGGAGCACAACAGTATAATACAACGCATGGTTCTTGGTGATATTGCAGACCGAGATACAATAGTGGAGTAAGTTGTCAATTTCCTATACGCAGTTTGTTTTGTGCATCTGTCAATTTTGATTAAAGAATGTCATTAGAACCTGGGTTCTTCAGTGTTTAAATATCAAGCCACTCAGTTAAACACAATATTACAATCTTGCTCTCTGATAGGATACTTTAGGATGAGAAATACTTAAGTAGATACAACCTTAGGAAAAACTTTTAAGAAAATGTGGTAGAACAGTGTTTGATTCCTGTGGTAGTTTGCCATCTTGAGTAAACTGCTTTGAAAACCATGCTTTTACTTGTGCTTCATATCTCATGCATATTGGGAGGTGATGAAATCCTAGCATTTTTCCCTTAGTACATTTCCAGTACACCTGAATCTTTCTTAATTTAAAATATTATTCCTTTTATCTGCATAATGCAAAATAGCCATTGTTACAAAGTGAGCTTGCTAGGCAGCTGCATAGTTTTTTTTCTAAGAGATTAACCCCCCCCAAATTTCTAAAATATTCCCAAAATCAAAAGAGGACTTAAAAATAATTTTTTCTATTAGTTTGTGTTTAATCTGGAAAAACTGTTACTATCTTACCATTTGGGGGGGGAGAGGGAGAAGCAGCACTCTTGCTTCTTAAGCTTTTAGCTGCATAACAGTGACATCCTTTCTGTTACAATGTCTCAGTGATGCTTACTGGCTTATTAACTTAATTTTACTGTAAACTTAATATGACAGCCTTGAAATAAGGAAGGTTTTTCTTCCAGGTGTTGCATAAACAAATATTAGTACTTTGTGGTTGGATGTGTCAGTGGGAAAGCCCACCATTGCTGTATAACATTAATGAAATACAATTTTATCATTTTAAGAATGTTCAGTAAAGGATTAATTGCTTAATTTTTTAAAATAATATTCTAAAGATATCCTCATGCAACTATAGTTGAAATTACTAGACTTGTTGGCTCTTTATTTTTAATAAAACCAATACATGCTTGTTGAAACATCAAAGATGCACAGTTCTCTTTTCAGGCACTTTTCCTGCTATGAGAAGTACAGCAAGGTGTATTAGATACCTGTTCAGTTTTCTAAAAAACATTGATGTATAGTTTATTTAATGTTTTGTACTTTCCTTAGGGCATTGGAAACTAACAAATACAATCACATCACTGCTACTTACTTCTTACTAGCTGAAAGGATTCTGCGAGAAAAACAAGAGAAAGAAATTCAGACCAGATCTGCAAGCCCTAGCAACATCAAAGCTCAGTTCAGGTGAGAATTTATTAATCTAATCTTTTTTTCCCAACCTGGCTTACTGAGAATGTTATTGAATTGCTCAAGTACTTCTTTCTAAAAATAAAATAAAATAAAATACTTATTCATTGCAAATTTTAAATGTCTTTAAAGTGATGTGAATGCTTCAGAAGCTGTTCAGAAATCAGTTACCAATAATATTTTCAATTCCTATCATTTTCAGGAAATGCCTGATCAGTTCAAAATCTGTATTTGAAGTAGTAAGTTTTTATATCTGCTAGGAAAGGTCACGTTCATTGACCTTCAGTTCCAAATACAAATTGTGTATGTAACAGCCCTGGAAAAAATTTAGTTGCATAATCCATAAACATGTTGATGGGGAATTAGTTATAAATGGAAAATCACTCTGAATTTGATGTCATGGTTTAGTTGTTAGCATTGATTTTTAATGGGCCAAACATCCCCTAAATCAAGCTTAGAGCAAACATCTGTAGGTTATATTCTCTTTAATGTCAGTTGATATGCCTGTTGTGTAAAGAAAACTGTTGAATTAATTGCTTTAATCACCCATTTAAAGATATTGCAATAGATTTTTGTTTTGTTTTGTTTGACAAAAACATGATTAAAAAAAACCTTATAGAAAGGTTCCCTGAGATTTTCAAAGCTTCAGCTTGTGACACAATAAAACTAAAGGGGGAAGTTGGGTTCTGGCTTCTGGTTGGTATTGATGTGTTCAGTGAGTCAATTTGCTTTGCAATCAGTTATCAAAACATCCTGTGTTTTCAATTACAGCAGCATGTGTTTTAAAAAAAACCCAGCCAAACACAAGGCAAATAGTAGAGTTTCTGTCTGCACACTGATATTGGAGGATGCATGTTTGCAACGGTTGTTTTTCTTAAACATTTTGTATGACTAGGGATCTGCTGGTATTGAAAAAAAACTTTATTGGCCCATCTTGACAATCTTTCTAGTGAAGATGGAGTTTGTGCTGAAGCATTTCCATTAATTTTTTTTCTCTAACCTCCAGCGTCTTCAGAAGTTGCCTTTTAGGTTTTGGTAAAATATTATTGGCAACTATTATTAGCAATCATAACAATTGCTAGTAGTTAATCTCTTAACAAGAGAAGAATATTAAGCGCTTGTGCTGAGTTGCTGCCTACATTCCATGTTGTTAATCTATGGGCAGGATTTAGAGAAAATTAAAAATAGCTTGTTCATTTCAAATGTTTCTTTGTGCAGCTTTCATGAAAGGTCACATGTGAAATCATTTAATAGGAATTATAATAGGGAAATAAATGCTGTGGTGTCCTTCTGGTGCATATCCATGTTTTCCTTGTCCTAACTGATAAAAGTAAGGTAGTACCACCTCAACTTCAATCTAGGAAAAAAAAAGGATGCTTGTTATAAATAGGCACTTTGGAAAATAGGTTAAAGATACATCATCTCCATTGATTGTTACCTTGGATTTAGGCTGAGATTTTGGAGACTTTTAGAGGAGAGTCTTCCAAATAACATTTAATCTACCTGAATAGTGAATTGTTTCCCTCTGGTGGTTCACATCATCTGCATTATCTCCAGATGAGACTCCACCCTGTGTTGTGTACTAGAGTAGACTGAAATTTTGTTGCTGCACTTGAAAGGTCATTCAGTCAATGGTCACTTAGGTAGGAAATTTTATTATGTTGCACAGTTACTAGTGCTTTAGAAGAGTTATTGTTGCAGGCAACTAAGGGAACAATATGGTTAGGAATGTCTTTGAATATGCTACTTACATGTGAACACAGGTTTCTACTACAGCTTTTCATGCAGTATGTTAAGAGTATTTTAGTTAATGTAAAGTTAAGTCATTGGCAAATTTTTTAAACTTAAAAGGTAACTCTTACTTTGAGAGGTGGGAAAAAAATTATCGATCTCCACAAGAAATGTGGGGCTTATGCAGAGTGAAGCAATTGAAGAATTAATCAGTGTTAAGGTGTAGGTCTATAGGCGTTGGTCTTTGGATTAGGCTTTCAGAATGCAGATAGAGAGGAAAGACTGACAGTCTTTTTTCTTACTTTATTCTGTGTGCATTATAGGAAGATTACAATATATATTAGGATTTACAGTAAAATACAGATCATTAGATACCAGCTTAGATACTGGAGAAAAGACATGAGCTGCTAACTGTAAAACTGATTTACACTCAAGTGTTAATTTCATTTTGATTTGAGCTAATGCTAGTACAGAGTCTTACACTGACCTTTGATTTACACTTTATTCAAGTGTCATACTGAGTCCTGAATTCATGCAGCTGTATTATTCCAGTTGCTCAGTTAAGGTCAAATAAATGTATGATCTCAATTCATGTGTGTTTAAAATTAAAGGGGATTTTGTAGAATAGAGTTTGGTCTGAATGAGACTTAGTGAAGATGAGAAAATGTTTCTTCTGACTTTTCAGTCTCACTCATGTTAATTCTAACCAAAATATTATATTAAGAATACTGGGGAAAAAATTAACAGACACTTCAGATTTAAAAGTAGTTTGCAATACTATCTTTTCAAAGTTGTGCTTGAATCAGCTTGTATCTTCCTCTAGGTACTGGTGTTTTTATGCCTACTTCAGGTTTTGTTTTTTTTTTTTGAGACACAATTAGTTAAGTTTTTTTATTGCTTAATTCATTTTCTGAGGACAATTAATCTTAAGGTTTCATTTGACAGTAACATAATTTCTAAACTATACTTTTGTATATATGATGGTCCTTTCAAGCAACAACATTTCTAAAGGAATGCACATCTTCTGAGAATGTTTCCTTTTCTTCAGTCACTCACTACTGTTATTTACAAGCATGCCACTCAGCAGGCTGATTTGTGTGGCAGTACTTGGGCTTCTTGTGCAGATCTTACATTTTCTTACATGTTCTAAAATGCTTGCCATGATCTAACTTTTGTCCTTTATAATCGTTTATGTAGGCAATCGTGGCCAACAAAAATCGATGTACCCCAAGATCTGGAGGATGACCTTACAGCTTCTCCTCTCTCCCATGCAACTGTTCCTCAGTCACCAGCTCGCACGGCTGAAAACATTCTCAACGGCCACAGAAGCAAGGCCCTTGGCGATGCAGCAAAGAAAGAAGATATCCCTGAATTAGCTGGACCGGCACTTTCATCAGTCCCATCAGTGAGCTTAAAACCCACTACAAGTGGCCGGAAGTGCTTGTTCAGAGTAGAAGAAGATGAAGAGGAGGATGAAGAAGATAAGAAACCTATTTCTCTTTCTACTCAAGTTGTTCTGCGCCGTAAGCCTTCAGTTACAAATCGTCTTACTTCAAGAAAGAGTGCACCAGTCCTCAATCAAATCTTTGAGGAGGGTGAATCAGATGATGAGTTTGACATGGATGAGAACTTACCCCCAAAGCTCAGCAGGTTAAAAATGAATATTGCTTCACCTAGCACCGTGCATAAACGCTATCACAGGAGGAAAAGCCAGGGACGAGGCTCTAGCTGCAGTAGCTCAGAAACAAGTGATGACGACTCAGAAAGTAGGAGACGCCTAGACAAAGATAGTGGGTTTACTTACTCCTGGCACAGACGGGATAGCAGTGAAGGGCCCCCTGGCAGCCAAGGAGATGGTGGTGGACAAAGCAAACCAAGTAACGGAAATGGAGGGGCAGACAAAACAAGCCCAAGTGATAACAACAAAGGTGGCGGGAGTCCCTCTGGTAGCTCCAGCGGTAGCACCAACAACACTTCAGGTTCCACTCGTAGATGTGCTGGATCTGGAAACTCAATGCAGTTATCGTCTAGAAGTGCAGGGGAACTGGTTGAAAGCCTGAAATTAATGAGCCTTTGCCTGGGTTCACAGATTCACGGCAGCACTAAGTATATTATTGATCCTCAAAACAATCTGTCCTTTTCCAGTGTAAAAGTACAGGAGAAATCCACATGGAAAATGTGTGTAAGTTCCAGCGGAAGCACAAACCAGGCTTCATCGCTGGCCAACCTAAAATTTTTTTCTGACCAAATGTCAGATACAGCAAATGAATTGGAATGGATAAAGAACAGGAACTTGAAAAACAATGTGCTACAACTACCTCTCTGTGAAAAGACGATATCTGTGAATATTCAGCGGAACCCAAAGGAGGGGCTGCTGTGTACCTCCAGTCAAACCAGTTGTTGTCATGTCATTTGACAATGACCTGACTTCAATAGCTCTATCTACTTGACAGCATAATTCTTCCTGTTCAGAGCTGTGAACACCTTGTCACCAGACCCCCTTTTGTTGTCTCAAGATTTTAAGTGGGCTTTGAGCAGTTATTTATTACACTTTAATTTTGTGTTTGCTTGATGGTATGACAATGCATGGTCTTTGCATGCTGCTAGCCGATATGTTTTTCTTTTTCAACAAAACAGAATATTTTATTGTGTAATTTTTAGATTTATAATTTTACTATGAAATATCTGGATTAAATTAAAATAAATATCTGGATCCTAATGTAAATGGAGCACTTAGAAGTTTCATATTCTGCACTTAAACTAGAGAGAGAAGCTTTTGTTTGCTTGTGAAATGTTAATTCTTGTTCTGACCTTCTGTGATAACTAAAATATGTGATATGTGGCATACTTCTATGTGTCTGAAACAGAACCAAAGCAATAATGTTTTGATGCTGAAAACTCTTCAGGGAGCTTTCAGATGTTCCAAGGCTTGTACAAAGCAAAAATGCACTGAAAATTAGTGATCTTGAAATATGATTTTAAACCCACACCTATTTGTCTTAAGCTATGATGTGGATAAAGTTGTGGCTCAAAAATTAAGCTGAAAAGATCTTGTTTTGCTAGGGGCAGTTTTCCCTTTTTTTTTTTTTTGTTTTTTTAAAAAAAGGCAAGTAGATTTGTAAGGCAGCTTTCTCCCATAGAAATATGTTAATATTACAAGCAGACAATCCTCTTTTTTAATATAACAAAGGTAATCACTAAGTCTACTTCTGAGTTTTTACATGCTAACTGAAAATAAAGTATTTTTATTAATTTCTTTTGTTATTAGTATATCATGATACTTAATATTTTAGGTTTTTACCTTTCTCCCCTTCCTCTCCTCCTCTCCCTGAGATTTCAAAAGGCAATAAGGGATAGAAAACTTGTAGATAATTGGATTAAAATTTAAATTGTTATTGTCATTTACATTTTTCTCATTATTACTCTTTTTAAGATTTAAAATACTGCTGTTTCCCCACAAGTACATGACTTATTTTCCCACAGTAATCATGCTTTTTCATAAAGTCAATTAAAAATAGCATATAGGAAAGTATTTATTTTGCAGCTCTTAGCCTTTCTGTCAGGTTTCCCACTGCCATGGCAAGGTCTTGATCTAGAGTATTTCTGTACAGAAGGATACTTTTGACCAGATTAACTTTGTGGAATTTTATTATCTAGAATAAAATTTATTGCAGATTCCTAGTTTTGGGAAGGGCAAGAATGTTTTATTTTTTCATGCTGTGCACTGGGTCTTCTAAGCAATGCTAGTGAACTGGTGGTATTATGTAGCAGTGCCCTGGGCAGACACTGGATATCTGAGAGGAGTTTACACTGTTGAGCATCTTCTAACACTTGCAGAGTGGTCATAGAAAGCATTTCATGTCCACCGCGGAATGAACAGAGCACCAAAGAATGGTGTTATGCTCGGTCATAATTTCTATTTCTAAGAACTCATGACAGCTCTTCTTGATTAGTAAAAGACTTTACTAAGAGAGTCTAAATTGCATGGGTATTCTTGCTGGCTAGCCTAGCCAGGGATTCTACATTCTGCTTCCTAAACAAGGCAAAGGATAAGCTTTTTACTTTAAGTTTTAAACTCTAATTGCAGTTTAGTCAGTGTGCTATTTATAAGTCAGAAGCTACAAGAATAGATGTGTGGGTGAAGCCATAGAACCTATTTGCTTGAAATTTTTGAGCAGGGATATTACCAAGGGCCAGAAATGAGATGTGTGGTTCACAGACAGTGAGCATAACATCCAAGTAGGAGACAAGTTTATTAAGGGCATTGGCAATAAACTTATTTGTTGCAGCTTTTTTCCAAGTATTGTAAATACTCTTTCCTGGTATTATGTACAGCCTTGGAATGGCACCTTTTAACTAACCCCAGGTGTATTTTGTTTCCAATGTTTTTATATACAACTGTATATATGGTGCTCACTTTAGAACAGCAGTGTTGACCATTTATGCTGCATAGTTGTATTATAGCCTTATAGTTGTGTGTGGTTGGTTGAACCTTTGGGCGTACAGATGTTAGTCTGAGTGCTGTCCCTTATCTGTTAGTTGACAGGTGAATGACTGTGCATGTGGTGTGTGTTGTATTATGTTGTCACGTAAAAGGAAGGGCGAGAATAACCACTACATTAAAATAATATTGGACCAAACTATTCAGAGCAAGTAAACAGTTTCTTGTACCCCTTAAATGTGTCTTTAAAAGTTGCATATAGTTACAGTAGTGTATAAATTAAATATTGTGGAAAAACAATTAGTCTTGTATTTTTCTGTATGTGTGTGTATATAAGTATATATATAAAAAATGTACCTCTAGCAACTTAACCTGTATTTAAGATGTGACAATCTTGACACAGAATTTTAAGAATAGTAGTATAAATAAGCAGAATTAATAAACAGAAATATAAAAATTTCTCACCAAGAAAGAATCTCTGTGTGTGTGTGTATGTGTGTGTGTGTTAAGAGGGTACAGAAATACCAGCTGATCTTACTGGTTCCAGCAATGTTTGGCTTTTTCATTGTATAAATATTCACGGTGTGCGACAAATGGAAAATACAGTTAATAAAAGTGAAATCTTGTTTGATTGATGCAGAACCCATGATTTGCACGTCAGTGCAGTTTGTTACTCCTGGTGGTCACTGCGCAAGGGCGGCACAAGCTCCTGGCCATGTACCCTGCACTGCAGCACAGCAGAGGTCAGACCTTCAGGAGACACGCTCCCTTGGGAGCGAGTTCTCAATACTGCAGACACCGAATAGCTCATACTAAAAAGTGCTGATCAAGCTTGCATACAGAAATAAATTAAAATAGAAAGCAGTAGAAATGTGAGCGTGGCTGCCTTGAAAAAATGCAGCTTTGTGTGTAGATTTGCAAACTTTCAGTTATTCTCTTGCATAAATCAAACTTGTTCATTTGGACTTGGCATCTGCTAAAATAGCGTTTTGTTTAAAGGTTGAGGTTGCTGTGTGTCAGGCAGAACTCCAGAATGAATTAAATGGTTTAGTAAACTTCACAAGCTGCTGTTCAGCTAGAGAACACTTCTATGATACACTTGTCCAACTTACCATCCTAGCAAATGTGGTGCTGTTCTAGCAGCTTGTGCCTGGCGGCTCTGGAGTATGGAATACAATGGGTTTCAGAATCTCACTTAAAATACTTGCTCTATGTGTGCCCAGGTAAATCAGACGAGCCTTAGTCTCAGCCACATGAATGTCCCTTAGAGTCACAGAAGGGATACCTCACTCCCCCCCCCCCCCCTGTAACTCTTGGGGAAAATAAGGTGCTTTACTGGGCTTGGGTTTTTCCTGTTAGCTGAAATGATTGGTTGTATACCAGTCTGACAAATCTGCATGGGTGATCTGTAAACCAGTTTGTGTGTTGTGGGTTGTTTTTTTTTTCTAGTGACAATGTGTGTGAGTTGAAGTTTCACCCTATAGACCAAATGTTTTTAATCCAAACCTAACCCGCTACTATTCTTCTTTGCAATGTAAAATGGGCAAAATGTAAAAACAAAAAGTTAGTGTTAGCACTGATACCTGTCAGAAGTGAGTAGTGGGGCATGGTGACTGCACACCAAAAGCTGGGTGCCTTCACACAACGTCACCCAAACCACCTAAGATCTAAAACCACAGTGTAACACACAGCTCTTGTCTGGGTGCGTGCTCTGCTCACGTTCTGCTGTCACATGTAACAGGATCCCAGGAGTTAAGTCCACTTAGTTACTGCAACTGCTTCACAGCCATGTTTTACAGCTGTGCCCCACATAGCAGTGTTTAGACTGCCATGTGCTGGAAAACATCTGCTCCTGAACATTTAGTCTAAAATTAATCTTATAAACTTCTGTTCCCTACTGTGTACCTGGTAGCCTAATGGTTTGGTTTCTTTTTTTTTTTTTTTTGGTCCTATATTTTTTTCCAAGGTTCTGTGAAAAGCATTTTGTGTTGAGGAGGGGTAGAGCAGAGCTAGCAAGTGCTCCTGGAACATGTTCTGCCGATTGTGGCTTCTGGTATCTTCTCATGCACATTACTGGTTTACCCTTAGAGATGTCTCTGGTGACTGGGGAAAGAGCTGTGCAAGTGGTTCCTCATGGGAAAGTGGACTCTCGAATTCAGACCCTTAGGTGGTGTGCTGACAGAGGCCGTGCTAATGCTCGGGTTAAGGCAAGTACAGGACCTGCGGTTGGAGCAGTTCAGCACAACCTGCTCTTCTCCAGCAATGCAACCCAGAGCCTGTGATTTAACCATAACCTGCCAAAAGGGTACAGACACAGGGTGTTTGGCACCTTGTAGGGATTAATGGCATTTAACAGGCTCTGTAAGTATATGCAATTAATGTATGATTGCTTTATGATGGGCTAGTTGTGTGCAGCTCTACCCACAGGCTTTTGCAGCTGGGACCTTGCCATGGCTGGGGAGCTTCCCAACGCTGGTTAATGCAAAATGGAGTGGAGGGGTTAGCAGGCAAGGAGCAGGTAAGGAACTCTGGGAAAGGGGGGGGGGAACTGCGACCATGCTTCAGGAAGGAAAGGTATAGTAAAGCTCATACTACCCTCTTTTTAAGACAACAGGGCCCAGCAATATCTCACTAACTGCTGCATACAGGTCAGATTTTTTTTTTAAACAATTTTTTCATTAGCAAATAGAGAAATGTGCTAGCCACCTACAGAGAATTCCCAACATGGATGGCTGTCACTAAACACAACAGGGGCAAAGTGGAATGTCCTGGGCAGCCTGGGGCCTGACAGGGGCAGCCACGCCACCCCAAGAGCCTGTCCCATGGCTAAATTCACAGGGGGGAATCAGAACAGATTATTCTAGATTATGACTTGCTTTCAGTAAAAGGTGCTTTCAGTGCTAACCCACTGACGTGACTGTACATGGGAAAGTGTAACAGTGACTCACTTAGTTACCTACTGACTAAAGCCAGCAGCTCCCTCATTGAAGTCACGTAGGTACAGTGTTTTGAGGGACAGCAGAGTGCCCTTTGCAGGAGTGATGTTGTAGTTGTTCCAGCCTGCTGCTTTCCTGAAGCACAGGCTGGCTATTTTTCTTTTGTGCTTCAAATTTTAATTACTGGTACGAAATTGACTCAGTTTGGCCTATCTGTGTGTATTACAAATGACTCCAACTTCTAGTAAGTCAAGAACCCTGAATTAGTGGCAGAGTCTATCATATTGGGGGGGAAAAAAGTTGATTGCTATTTACTTACCCAGACGGTAGAAGTATGTCATATGAAAAATGCAAGTAAACGTGATACTTTAGAGAACTTGAAAAGCATGGGGTTTTTGTACAGACTTCAGTAGGCTCTCAGACATGTCATGTCAGATCTCCTTAGCAATTAATTTCAGCAAACCCTTGTGTAACATCTTCCTGTTTCTTCCCTCTCACTATTCTCTCTTGAGAAATACAGGGCTGGGGGAGGCAGGAGGGAAGGATCTGTTTTTCTCTTTGGGCTCCTGTGTGCCACATGCACTCAGCTCAAGTGCCCAAGGCCTGGGAGAGGTTCAGCTCAGTGATGCAGACCTGGGAGCCAGGAGGAAGTGCTGACGGGCTCTCTTACACCGTGCCCAGGATCACCCTC